TACTACAGATTGTTCTCAATTGGTGAAGATAGTTTCAGAACCAGAAGAATGACCTGCTTTTGCAATCTACTTGGAGGATATCAAGATACTAAAAGGAAATTTCACAAGTTCAGATATTATCTATGTCCCAAGAACGCAAAACACCAAGGAGGATAAGCTAGCGCGTAGTTCTAGGAAACAATCGTATTTCGTCATACACATGGATACAGAGCTACCAACTTGATTTACATGGTCTATATGAGTCTGTAGTATATTGATGTAAAAAGAAAAAAGGTTAGCTTTGATAAAGCAAAAACGGAGATTTGTATCTCTAGACATCACACCCAACAGAGAACTGTTTGTATTGATATTTTTGCTTTATCAAAAAGCTTAAGACGTTTTAACATGTTAACTAGATTATGGTCTGCATTTTTTAAGTGTGAGGTTATTTTCTTACAATATTTAGTCATGTGATATATGATTTTGATAAATTTTTTATTATAAAATTATTTGATACTAAACTACTCTACCATTTTATTTTATACAATATTTTTGATATTAAACTTATTTTGTCGTGATAAATTCAATTCCATATCTATGAAAATAGAAATATGCTAACCTTTATGTTAATTTACTTATTATTATAAAATATTTTGTGGCATTTAACCTGAAAAAATACTTAGTTGTATATTTTTCAAATTTCGTTCTTCATAAACAATTCAAGTGTTTTAATCAGTTATTGTATTTCTCAAATAATGTGTATAAAACCTAATAACTATAATATTAAAAAGTGGGATTTAATATTTTATATTGTTTGAAAATATGTTTAGTTATGCATTTTTTTATAAATATTTTTAGTAGTATAATGTTGTTTTTCATAATTAAGGTAAATCCTAAAATTTCCGTGCTATCAAATATCAATATAGGTGATTTTCCCGTGCTCATGCACGGACATAAATATTTATAAAATAAATATATTATAAGAATTGATTGATATTTACTTTAAATAATAAATTAATTTATAGTTTGTAGGTATAATTTATATTAATAATGTTATATTAATTTAATTATATATAAAATTGTGGATATGTTATACTTCGTCAATTTTATTGTTTTTATGGTTGATTTAGTTATCATTTGGATATATTAGATTCTATCTATTTCTCTTAATTCAACTATAATCATTTTTATTCTAAATATATTAAATTTTTGAATAATTCTCTTATTTGCATTTATGCCGGTTGTTATCTTAGAAATATAAGTATATCTAGTAAGATTATGTATAACTTAAGATTTTTTGTGCTTAGAAAGAAAAAAAATAAAAACTCAACTATCCGATTCTAAATTACATACATAAAAACTAATAAAATTTTGGAAGTTCATGAACACATATCGATATTTAGAATATTTACATTGATTGGATGGTAAACTGAAATTTATTTTAATAATTTTAAAATAAGGATTTTGATTTGCTTAAGTATTTTGATTATGTTTATATTAAGTTCCACAAACATAAAAACAGAAAAATCAAAATCAAAAGAGTTATTACGAAAAAATATAGTTTTAATTATTAAAAGATAATATACATACTTCGTTAAATTATATAGTATTATGATAATTTAAAATAATTGTAGTTATTTGATCAAAAAATGTTTATTATTAAAACTTATTTTTAGTTTTGTTTTTAATATCTCTTAAAATATGCAGTAAAAATGTTATTGTTTTTGAGAAATTATATTATATAAGTAAAATAGAACTTATATTTTTAATGTAATTGTAAGCTATTATAGTCAAATAAGTATACTAAAAATAAAAAAATAAAGATTTTAAGAATACTAATTATAAATAAAATTCAATTAAACATATATCAGTTTATGTTACATAACTTTTTTATGTAATCATCTAATAAAATAGATAGATATATAAAAAATAATTACTTTGAAAATATATATATATTTATTGCTTAAAATTATTTTTTTAAAATAAAAAAGTATTTATTTTTCTAATATCAAGATTAGTTGTGTAAACTTTTGTATGGAATCACATTATATAAAATATTGTTTTTCATCTAAGAAGATATATATATATATATATATATATATATAAAGTATATATTTTATTACTTCAAAAGTATATTTTATGTTATTTAAAATATATTTAAATTAAATATTACTATTTTGTGTGAACTTTCTTTTTTATGAAACCATATTTATATATAATTATACTTTTATTTTTAAAAATTTTTGTAAACTTTATAAATGTTTCCTTTTTTAGTTTATACTGTTATTTGGAAATTTTTTAAAAGGATATAATAATATTTAAAAATATTTTTAATTCATTAGGGATATCATAATAATCAACCAGCGTGAGAGTTAACGTGAATGCGACACATAAGAAAGTGACTTCTCAAATAATATTATAGAGATTTTCCGTACTATCAAATATGATAACATGTTAATTTGTGATGTTTCTTAGAGGGGGGATGTTAATGTGATTTTTTTAGCATTTTAACATGTTGGTGTTGACATTAATGTTAATGTTAAGTTCTTTTGGTATTTTCAGACCCAAACAGTTTGAATGAGTGCAGCTTTGTACATATATAAGAGTGTTTAAGGTGATTTGTTTCAAACTAATTTTTTCTTTCTAAATCATATAAAGTAGGCTATTTTACTAGCATATATAAATTAATATACAGACATATTAGCTGCCACGTTATTTATCATTTTATATATAATATTTTGTGCTCAAAAATAATTATTTTTAGGTTTTTTAATTATTTTATATTTTAATTAATATTGTCTGGCATAAAAACAAATTGAAGTTACAACAAACGCATAAAGGTACCAGAAGCTAATAGTTTTCCAAAAAAGAATGCAAATCGTATTTTAATTTCATCCTTTTTGATATAAAGTGTTAGTTCTTTAAATTATTATTTTTAAACTAAATAAAAGAGATTATGAATCACAATTTTGAATTCTTATGGTCATAAGAAAGGGGCTCACTCCATAGATCCGCAAAAGTTTGTCTAGATACATATCTAGTTCTAACCTGTTTAAGATCGGGTCACCAACCCGTTTGGACGTGACACGAATTTGAATTCCTGGGAATTTGATAGCATTATATATTCCTTTCTAATTAGCAGACTTCACACCTAACACAAAATTATTTTGTATTGGATACTTTTTGTTTGCTATTTTGTCAAAATCAAAAGCTTCGTGGAAGAACTATAATCTAATTGTTAAGATTTAAAAGTTTTTATATGTATGTCAGGGGTTCAAATCTCTGACAATGTAAATTATTGTATTCAACTATGTGGAGTAGGCCTGGGCGTTCGGGCCCCTGTCGGATTTGGTTCGGTTGATTTCGGTTTTCGGATTTTCGGTACCATGTGCATAAGTCCCATTCGGGTTTTACTAATTATCGGGTAGGGTTCGGTTCAATTCCTCTAAGTTCGGTTCGGGATCGGGTTATAACCAATATATAAAATCGTTCAAATATATTTTTTAAAATTTAAAAAATTGTTAAAAAAAATACTCAAAATATTTAAATTATTCACAAAACTAACTACAAACAAGCCAAACTACATAAATTAGTTCAAAGTTATTCAAAATAAAAAATAAAATAAACTATTAAAATTTAAAATATTCTAAAATATCTAAATTTTTTAACATATATAAAAATAGTAACATATTTCACTAATTTCGGATATAGTCGGATCTAAGTTTGAATTTCGGTTCGGTTCTGGTTATACCCATACTCCAAAGTACCAAGCTCTCAAGTCCCATTCGGATATTCTTATATAACGGTTTGGATCCGGTTTCATTTTTTCGGTTCGGGTTTAGGTAGGGAGTTCGGTATGGGGTAAAAAAAACCAGGCCTAACCACGTTCATAACACCTCTTGCATTTCGTCTAATATACTTTATCTAAATGGAGGAACTTTTACATCTCTCATTTTTACTCCGTTAATTAATAATGGACCACGTTCATAACACCTCTTGCATTTCGCCTAATATACTTTATCTAAATGGAGGAACTTTTCATCTCTCATTGATTCTTCTTCCAATCAAATTTTATTATATCTTCTCGAAAATAATTTTATCTTATGCTCCAATTGCTAAAGTCGTTGTATGCCTATCAACTTTTGATTCTCTTTACCTTGATCGAACTGCTCAGTTTTTGGTTGCTTGCTGCCTTCGTTTCTGGGATTCCCGAAACATAAAAAATGATGAATTTATGGGAACTAGAGAAGATTGAGAATTTTTTTTGGCATTTAACAAGACTGAATAGTAGATTTATTTTTACTCCGTTAATTAATAATGGACAACGTTGGTAACACCTCCTACATTCCGATTAATATATATTCTACCTTAACGAAGAAACTTTCATATCTGATTCTCTCATCGCTTTTTTTTTCACTTAAATTTTATTATATCTTCTCAAAAATGACTTCATCTTCTGCTCGAGTTGCATGCCTCTCAACTCTCGATTCTCTCTACTTGGGCTAAACTGAACTGTTCAGTTTATGGTTGCTCGCTGTCTCTGTTTTTGGGATTCCTAAAATATATAAAAATAAAAAATTATGGAAATTAGAGAAGATTGAAAACAACGTTTGGTAATTAACAAGACTGTATATTGATTGCTGATATATATGGCTTTTAGAATTTTATTGACTAATACGGAAGACTATCACATACCATATCGATTCAGTTTATATGTTAAACATCAAAAGATATAATAAAATTATAAAATATATCAACTATGTTCCCGACTCCCTGCTTTTGCGTGGAGACTATATCCTTAGTAAGTTTAATTTTGGTGTTTATTATCTTTCTTACAGATCGAGTTAGATATTTGGTCAAACATATAAAATTTGCTGGATATTTAGATACTAAGTATCAAAATAATTGCTAAGCTAATAAAATCTGAAATTTGTTGATCCTTTGAAACCTCTCGACCTTTATATTGAACCCCTCCGTCTAGAAATTTGCCTATATATGTAGGCATACATACCACATCCTTCGCAGTGCAATACCAAACTATAGACCAACAAACTTAAAAAAAAAAAAAAAAAAAAGAGCTGCAGTGTTTTATTCGACCACCATCCTGAAATGGGGCTAACTGTTTCACTTGAAGGTTCGTTTTACTTGTAGGCATGCACATAGATTTAAGTTGTAACTCATTTATATCTACACGTTTTTGCTCATCTGCATATATGTATATTCTCTATCTAGACACCGTAAGAACAGAGGCAAAGAGCAACAACAACGTTCACTTAATGTTGGTTGATGGAATGTCTAACCTAATGACTGGAGAAATTGAGAATTGTGCGTCATCGGATATCTATGTTGGTGGTCTAAAATGGTGAGTCACTCGATCTTTTACCCAACACGGTATTAGCTTAACCTAATATGCGTTTTGATATAGGAATATCATTCTCGCTTCAGAGGGGGGCTGCCTACACTTTGGTCTGATGATCAGCGACAGCAAGTGTACTGGTTCTAATTGGAAAGTCAATTGCACCGTCAAACTTACCCTATACTCTGATGCTTCTTCGCTCCTCCATCAAAACCACAGTACATCTAATTAACTTTACACAAGTAGTATTTCTTGATGATTTTTGATGATTTCTATTTTATTTTCATACTGCGGATATATGTTATATTATCAGCGACTGGGGTTTGTTTCGACGCAAACAATACTGTTGTATTCGTAAGCATCCCAGTCAATAACCTGAAGGAGTCATATACTGTGAACGACAAATCGGTTTTCTCTGCCGAGATCACAGAAGTTAGACCGAGATTCTTGGACGTTACCAGTATCCCTCGAACCATGGGGACAGCAGAAAGCATTAAACTGGTGGAGGTGGAGAGGAACAAGTCTAAATTCACCTGGAAGATTACTCGCTTTTCCTCCTTCGTTGGTGAACATAATTCATCGTACCAGTTCACCGTTGGACCCCGGAGATGGTATGTGCTTCCTCTGTTTCAATTAGTAATACGTTTTGGAATAATAGGTCTAGAAAATGAATGAACGTTTTAAACTGGAGTAACAGCTCTTAGAATAACCAAAACACGTGTTAGATTAAGAAATTAATATATGTTTTATTTTTCTTTTTACCAGGTACCTAAGGATGTGCCCAAAAGGAACCTTAGAGGGAAAAGGAAATTCATTGTCCTTGTATTTGCATGCTGCCGATTACGTGACCGGTCCAAAGACAAATACATTGGCCGTCTTTAAACTGCGAGTGTTGGACCAACTCAAACGCAATCACCATGAATTAGGTATAAGGTCATGATTGTGGGGGTTTTTCTTCGACAGTATTTGGAGTGCATTTTGAAATATCTATTAAGTAAATATTTAGATGCCTAATATCTTTATATTTCATTATTATTAAAATTTTTAAAATTTATTTATCTCTATACTATTATTTGAGAAATCAGTTTTCTTCTAATGTATCATGATTGTGTAATTCTCAAAACGTTTAATTACAGAAGAATTCTCAATGAATTAAAAATATTATATCTAATTATCATTATTATTTTTATTTAATATTTTTAATTTGATTTTAGTTATAGATTCCTTTTATATAATTTTACACATAACATAAATAAGACTTTAATTATAGTTTCTTTTATTTATACTTTTCTGAATAATATAGCTTATATAAATAAGATTTTAAAACAAAATAGCTTATATAAATAATTATATAAAAATTCATTTATAAAAAAGGAAAGTTTACACACAAATATTCTTGATGTTAAAAAGTTTATGATAAGACATAATTTTAAACAGCATAATACATATTAACGTGTCGGAGTGTCACAATCACACTAATTTTAAGCCGATTAATTACAGAAATACATTTAATAGAAAATATCTATCTAATTTCTATTTTTTTTATTTAACCATTTTAGTTATCCTTTTAGTATTTTATTCTTTATACTTTCGATTAGCATATATAAGTTTTTAATTTTAGTTTCATTTTTCCTTATAACTTTTTAAAAGTAGAAAATCTCATAAAAATAAAATCTTATAAATTTTTACAACGAAATATATTATATGTTAATGTAAAAAATATTATTGAATTATTGTTGATATTTATTTTTTTATTTATTTTCCTATTAATTTTCAAAACAGTTACATTTTCTTTCTATTTTTTATCAAACGAAATTGACGATAATATATGTAAAATTTAAAATTAATTCAATATTTTGAATATATCACACGATAGCACAAAATTTTGTGTAAATATAATTTGATATCTAAGATGAAAATTTAGGTAACTGAATCAATAAAACAATTTTTTTCTTTAAATAAAAGCAAAAATAATTTACTTTATTTGGAGAAACTTCATTCAGTACTTCCAAAAATGAGTAATTAGACCAATTCAAATTATTGTACTAAAATCAAAGGTTTACTAAAATAATAACATATTTTATTTAAAATAATACTTTACTTACTTTATACATATAAAATTACAAATTACGTAACATAATAATAATAAAAGTGAAAATTAAATAATTTTTACAGTTTAATACTTGTTAAAATGGATATATACATGAGTTTTCAAAAAATCATTGTTATATTTATTCATGTAACTTTGATTCGTTCAACACTTTAACATTTTCTATTTGATTCTATTTTCTGGTTAAAATTATATTTGGTTCTCAATACATCATGTATTAAATCATACATAATTCTACGGAATATATATCTAAATCTAAGACAATAAATCAACCAGATGTGACTAAACAATTAATAAAATACTAATATTGATTTAGAGAAGTATATACATTCTAATATATCTAAATAATAACCAAACCAACCAGATAATATTACTTAGAATAAATCACTAATATAAATTACAAAATGATTTAAACTGAGTAAATTATTAATCAGTTATTATTGAATACTTATGTTGTTAATATTTATATCAATGTATGAGCAAGAAAAATCACCCAGTATGTACACTTAAATAAGCTATTTTCTAATTGCTTTTAATCTCTACTTGATTGATAAAGGCCAGCAGTTCTGGTTTGGCTCTGATGGACAAAAGGGAGAAGCCAAGTTTTTGGCGCTGGACAAACTGCACAAGGCTTCAAACGGATTTCTGGTGAACGATGCGATATATGTCGGTGTTGAGTTCTTCTATGTCTCCACTACTGAGAATATGATCTGATTGGTATCATTTGATTCGATCAAGACCACATGAATAAATAGCTCATGGAGAGGAGCTTATCTACCTATTATACTACTTTGCATATATATCATGGTGTGTACACATATGAAAAAATAAAACGATCATCAAATCGATTGCTTGTACTGTCTGGCATGATAACACTCAACCGCATCTGATGCTATGTCATATGTATTCTCTTGAGGAGTAAGCTTCTTTGTTTGTGTGATTTTGTTGTGCACCAAATTCTTATATTAAATTAAATGTCTAACATATTTGAAAGGTTACAACTGGGATTAAACTCGACGGCTAAATTAAAAACATAATCTACTAAAACGGTACAAGTGATAGAAGTGTTAAAAGGGCAAAGATACCCGTAGACATACTTTACTTGAGACCTTACAACTGATGTTTCCAAGAACATACTAATGTCAAATACTCCCTCCGTTTCGAATTAGATGTCATTCTAGAGGAAAAATTTCGTTTCAAAATAAGTGTCGTTTTAGAGTTTCGAGAAAAAATTTATTATGTTTATATGATATTCTATTTTCCTATTGGTTAAAAAGTGGTTAGGTATATTGATAATTGTGTTTTTATATTGAAAATATGTAAAATTAAATGTTTCCTTAATCTGTGTGTAAAAACCTAGAATGACAAATAATCTGAAACGGAGGGAGTAATAAAATTCAGATAATAACGGACTAAAGGGGATCGTAACATAGTAAAATTCAGATAATAACCGACTAAAGGGGAGAGTAATTAGAGGGTTTGAAGATGGTTGGTCAGCACCAACTCTGGTGATAAGGGGATCTTCTTTTTCTTCAGTGGTTTGAGACAATAGGAACAGTGGAGGAGGAGAGTGTCTTGGGTTCCCATTGGAACTGTGTTGGAGGTGGACATTATTGGCCAGCAAGAGCAGCTGATATATGACTCCATAACCGTAGCCAAAAATGCATAGAAAGTCCTTTTTGCCCGTATTTGACGATAGTATTCAGTAACAATTCAGCTCTAACACCAACGACATTGACCAGGGAGACATGTGAATCTCAAACATTACAGAGAGCAAATTGTTCGGTGAGCTAGATAGTGAAACGGCTGATGCTCTTTTCATCTCCGATTTCATCGGTGTATTTGATGCTGAAAGGTACAATATGAATCTGTTGGAGGGAGACTTTGGAGGGAGTAGTGGTAGTGAGGCCTTAGCCGCCTGAACTTGGACGCAACCCTCCAATGTAAAGGAGTGGCTGGCTCATAGAGTAAGACACTCTCTCGGGTTGGCAATAGATGTGTTAAACCCGGCCATGAAGACTTGATTTCCTTAACCTTGGTGACCTGAAATAAGAACCCAACAAGACTTGATAGGCAACTGGTAACATTGATACGCATTTTCAGTAACATTTACACGAGGATCAATTTTTTGTTGTTCCATTAAAAAATAGTCCACTCACCACATTGATACTTGTTTTCAGTAACATTTTTTTCTAAGGGAAATTTGTCTCTATAAACATTAAAAATCTAACTAGAAACATCCCATTTTCCCTCATTTCTCTTCCTATATTTCTCAAACTTCGCACTCAAAATATAATTACTTTTTATATTTGGTTATTCAGTAAATAAGCTTTTTATTATATGATATTACTCAACATTTTCGAAGAAAAAGCCAAATAAGTTTGTGCGGTTGTTTTCTCTGTAGCCAAAATTTTTGGTGGCTTTAGCGATCTTGCATTGTATTTCGTGTAAACATCACCGGTGGTTTTAAAAAATGTCACGAATTAACTTGGACTAACGATTTAATAACTATCCTTGTATCTTCATAATGTTTTAGTTTATGTTCCTACCTATTATCTAAATTTTGGCTACCAACTAAACTAATCACATAATATCTCCAGTTTTTTATTATCTCTTTTTTCTTTTGTATGAATTTCTTACTAGTATACAACGGTTATTTCTATATGCCACCAGTATACTTTAGAATTTATGTTAATTCACCTATCTGAAGCTCATTTAGCTTACTTATCAGTCATCAGTCATCACCCAAAGTTGTAACACGTTTTTCACATTAAGGCGGCCTCTTTTAGAGTCACATAAGCATTGTATTAAAGGTCTTTGAAACAAACTTACTCATGGTGTTGCCTATTGATGATCCCAATCAAAGACCATCTTCTATTCTTCTTGTCTAAAATTCAGACATTGCTTAACTTGGATTTTGATTCATCAACTGTTAATAAACTATTTCAAATTTTCCATTTTTGTCAAGATAATTTAAAGTTCTAAATAAATGTTAATAGGTCTAATGTATAGTTGTATAAATAGAATATAGAAAGGTTGTTGGCAGGGGCGGATGTATATGGCCGACTACAGGGTCACGTGACCACGACTACTTTAAAAAAACAATTATATAAATATTTTGTTAAATATAATTCTGTAAATGGACAAAAGTAAAGCTTCCGTCAACCTAAAATTATAGAACACATTTTTTTACAATTACATATATATTCTAGTCGAAATAGAAAATAAGATTTGACTTTGAAAAGTCCACTCGGAAAGTACAGAAAAATAATAAAGAATGTAAAGTGTTTGACTTAACTATACCACAAGCATTCGGTTCTGTCTTTTTACTTTTTACAAATTATATTCTCCATAACAATATAACAACCGCCACGCACGAGACAAGAAGGTTGCAGATACGAGTTAAACATTAAAAAAAAACAAAAGGTAAAATAATAAAAAAAAATTGATATATTAGCTAAATAACAAGATTCGGGAGAATTCAGAAACTATAAAATTGTGTGAAGTTATTTTTTTCACATACTAGTTTTAATAGAAAAATACTTCAAGCCTAAAACAAAATTTTCATCAACATCTGGTGATAAATATGATTTTGAGCAGTTATGAAAATTTCCTTCTGATGAAGATGATTTAGAGAAGTAACAAAAATTTGCATTCACATCTAATGATGTTGATTTGGAAAATTTACTTTGCAATCCTGGTGAGAAGAAAACAATATATGAATATCCATCACATCAAAGAGATGAGATAAGACGCAAATATCTTATGAAAGGTCCTTGTCAACCTCGTGGTCATAAATCTCGTAAAATAATTTTTACAGGTAACTGAGACGACTCAATCCTTCTTGATTTGATCTCTATGGTGATTGGTTAGAATATAATGTGAAAATGACAAACTATTTTGTTTATTCTATTACTTATTTAGAGATTATGCTGAAAATAAAGGTGGAAGTGATGCATCTGTGATCAATGGCTTTAATGACTGGAACAAGACATATATATTACGAGATCATGTATTAGCTGTGAATAGTTTTCACAATAGTGCACTAAAAAGGGTTGATTATCTGATGAAACCAGGACAATTATTTGTTCATGCTTTTTATAAGAAGAATGATACAGTCAAAAAATAATACAAGGTCAGATTGAATGCTTCAATTGATGCTTGTAGATATCTGTTATGAGAAGGATTACCGTTTCGAGTCAATGATGAATCACTGGGTTCAGTTAACAAGGGAAATTATTTGGAGCTTGTGAAATATTGCAGAGCAAAACGAACTTGTAAGTTGATATACCATGATTTTGACCCACTTTTAGTCATGGTATTGATATGTTTTTATGTATATTTACTACAATATAGAGTCTATTTAGAGTATTTACAGGTTCAGGTACGTTCTGCGGAAATATGGTGATTTTGGTGTCTTTGGAGCCTTTAAGTGCAGAACTGCGCAGACGCGTCAGATGTTTAGATATGGATGGAGACCTTCCCATGGTGCGCTTTATCTTCTCTTTTGACACAAGATAGAGCTTTGTGTTATCTTTCCAATGCCACTGGTTTGGGGTCAATCCAACGGTTAGATCAGAAGTTATGCCCGTTTTACTGAAGAGTGGTCAGTCTGCCTCACGAGAGAAAGCTGCCGAGAAAATATGTGCATGTCGATCGATGGGAGACACTTTATTTTCTTATTCTATTATTATTCAGACTATGATTTATGTTTCTTCTATCATGTCTGAGTAGTTCATCTTGTTAGGTTAAGGGATTTCATGAGCTTAATGTCAAACTGAATATCAATTAGGATTGCTAGAATATCTATAGATCTCTACACCAAGGTGATTTGTAATACTAGGATCTGGAGTAACTAGGATATCATGATAGTGTGACTGATTTCTTGAACCTAGAATCACAGGACAATTGCGATGCACGAAAGTGCAGTCAATTAACGGAACCCGAATCCTGCTGGATTAGATACTTAGGCGCATATGAAAATTTGGTCTAGGAATCTAGTTGAACATAATCGATTAGGTCGCTAATGCTTGTCTGAGGTAATATCGATCGATACTCAGGCCATAGTATAGATCGATACTCACTTCTTGTTCGCATGCGAAAGGTGGAACAAGGACTTAGCCATCTGATTAGTAATTGCATTGATAGATGGATTACTTACTTATTAAAATCGAGTTCTAGAATGAATCTATAAGCTGTTAGCATCTTGAATTGTTGTTTTGAATCTCTTGATTGATAAATCCCTAGGTCTAGCTATTTCTCTTTATTGCTTACAAACTCAACCAATCGAACAACTACCTTGTTCACATTGCTTTTATTTACTGTTTTATAAATTGTTCACCTAGCTTAACTTTGATTTCTATAGTCTAGTGTGTGTTCCTGCTCTCTGTGGATTCGATCCCTAAATACTATGATTGAACCTCTTATTTGAGAGAGTAATTCACTCCTTAGGGTTAAACATTTGAGTCATATCAAATTAGGCGCCGTTGCCGGAGAGCAAGGATTCGCCATTAGACTTGATTAATAGGTTTAGTCTAGGTTTTATTTACTGTTATAGTTATTTACTGAAATTTTTTTTCTTGTCTTCAGGTACATACATGTCTCTTAGTACCAGAAGCACCAAGGAGGAATTACTTTTTATCTCATATCCTACAAGATTGGAGCGTTCAATCCGCAAAGAAAAACGTTCCCTATCGATCGATAACAACACTTGTTAGTCGATCGATACTCGCCAACCACAGTCGACCGAGACACCGTCTTCATCGACCGATACTCGCCCACCCACATCAACCGAAGCTACCCTTCTGTCAAACGATATTTCCCACCCAACATCGATCGATACTTCACCTCGCAGATCGATCGATACTGAGCAGCGAGACATGGTTGCGACGATATCACTTGTACGAGATGAGAATGGAGACCTGCATGACCAGGAAGGTCATATGTGTAATGAAGCAGGTCAGAAGATAGATGGAGAAGGAACTGCAACCGTT